TCCACGAAGCTTTTCCAGTCGCCAGCAGTAAATCAGTGGATTGAGGAGAGAGCACAAGAAAGCAAATGTGTAGGACCATGTTGACAATACGTACAACATATGCGGCTCCACCAAACCATCTAAGAAAGTTGCACTTCCAAAAAGTACGGTTACGGGCAGGTAGGAGAAGAACAGCGCCGTTAAGATGATTGTTAGGGTCTTAGCTGCCTTGTGGTTCTTTTTAAGGCGCTTGGCTTCTTCGTCAGGTAACTGCTCGGTTTGTAGACGACGTTTATGCTTTTTGGCTTCCAAGAAGACAGCTGTATGGATGAAGACAATGATAACAATGTAAACAACAATAATGACTATGAACATTAAATCGTTTGCGACCAGCAGTATTGAATATAAATCTGATTCAGTGTTTATGGACGCAAGAAGGATCATTGCAATTATGCCAACAGCTGAAACTAACCAGACCGTCACCACGCCAGTAAGAAGTCTCTTCTCTGTTACGATGTCGTCATATCTGAGGGGGAACTTTATGGAAATATAGCGTTCAACACTGATCAACATAAGATGGCCAACTGACGCCAGGCACAATCCAATGCCGATCACTCCCAGTACTGTATCGAACATACAAAACGGCCCAAGACCAAAGATGTGCTTAATTTCTGCCGCCACGGTCAAGGGCTGCAAGAGCAAGCCAACTAGAACGTCCGTCACGGCCAAACACGCCAGTAGGATGTTGTACACAGTTCTCAACTGTTGTTTGGTCACTACCACTAAAACAACCAGAGCATTTAACACAATGCAGATAACGGCTGAGGTAATGTTGACGCAGATAACAGCAACAAGATTATTATAAACAGTTTCTTGTAAGTATCTTGGCTGCCAAGCCGAGAAAGTAAGATGTGGGCAAGCGTCTGATGACTTTTTGGCCATCAGAGGAGCTTTGCTAGTCGCGTTCTATAGGGTTATTTATGAAGTGACTGGCCACAAGTTTTGGGAGTCCTTTTATTTAATGAGGACCAGTTCACTTTTGTCTTTCTCCAGGAAGTATAACGTACTGACGTTGAGTACATAGCCGCTTATTGGTGCATGTAATGTCACTTTTTAAGACTTTTAAAGATGAATTAAAAACTCAGACTCTTATTTTCCTTTTGTTTGCTGTTAATAGTTTTTGGGGTACATTTGTAAAACTAAAGAAATCAAAATCGATTCTTCTTTTGCAAGCACCTCACAGGTGCTATTGCACTCTTTTCACTTTTGCACGCGCACAGAGTAAAAAACACGCTGGCTTATTCCTTTCAACCAGAGCATCTGACTCTACCTTAAAGTTTTTTTTTTGATGAAATTGTAATAAGCTTTGATATACGAGCAAGCCATCACATTTAAGGTGAGGCAAGGCACCGATCAAGACCCTTTTATTGTCGCCTTCTATTTGGCAAACTTTTTTTTACAGTATTTCTATCTTCATCTAATGAGTCGACCCGAATGGCTTGCACCACCTGCGTATTTTTCTCATTTTCGAGGTGTCTGTTGTTGACTGTTGTTGAATTAGTTTGGGAAAATACAGATTAGTTTCGAGATAATTATAAATTCAATGTCCAATTTACCCCCTTTTGAAGTCACAAGCGTGTTTTTCTTGCACACATATGCTGTAAAAACAAAGTTTCACCTAAAAACCTTTTAGCTACTCTTAACGAAAACATTTTGAACTTTGGTAGTAGTATGAGCTGGTTCACTGACTAAAACTCTGTGGTTTTGTTGTATCGTAATACGTGTTTTGCAATATTGCTATCATGGTGAATCTGCCGAAACGTCCGCCACTGATGTCAATAGATTATTCATAAAAGACTCGTTATACCTGGTTTGTGCGTATTCTCCTCTAATGAAGAGGAATCTGATGGTCAATTGCAGACATGGTAAATAAATCTCTTTTTTCACCTAGCTATGAATATAATTGTGAAAACTAAATATATACCCAAACACTTTGGATCCAGTTAAGACAAGCCGGTTTAATTTACTGGTGGATAGCAAAATCTACCGTTCGTTAAGAACGCCACTTTCTGGAAAATAGTTTTCTTGGCGAAATACATATGACAGAAATTCCATACCTGGAAGCTGTTCAGCTAAGCACTTGCGCCACATCAATTATAATTTATGTGCTGTAAGTAACAAAATTTAGTTGTTTTTTTTTACCTGAGTTCGGTCTCTAGGACAGGTGCACTGTGGCGATTCAAATATGTTTTGACGTTCGGTTTCGCCATTAAAATTATGTGAGAAAATCAATATGTTGATCAAATTTCTGTAATTAATTTGTTTTCATAATTGTGCGGGAATGAGAACAGGAAAAAGGTGCAGCTGTTATTCCTCTTACAGAAAGATACAGAAAGGAATATTGGTACTTGTTATGTTCACTGAGTTGTTTCCAATCAATTTTCAACTCGTGCTATAAAGGAGAGTGAAAGATAACTCACAACCCATGCATTTTTCTATGGCTAAATCAACATTATGGTAATTCAAAGCACTTGTATATGAATATCAGTGTGTTTGTTTGGATGAATTTTGTTTTGGATTGAAAGTTCGTTCTTTAAAGAAACGTGTCCTCTAAAAATAATTTCACAAATTAATTGATTAACCTGTCTGCCGTTTATTGGATTTCAAAATTAAATCTTTTTAAACTAGTATCACACGTTTCAATGCTTGTCGAACGATTCGATTCAAAGAAAACAAAAAGATGTTCGTACTTCTTTCTAAATGACGGCTAAAAAGCTTCAGGAGCCATCATTGCCATGCTATTAAATGCACTGGTTATCATCGTCCTAGCGACAAAACAGCAGCAGAGAACTCCTCACACCATCCATAGCGTCTTTGGCAGCAACAGGTTTTCTGATTGGCGCGATCGTGCAACCTTTGTTTGTGGCAGCAGAATTTAAGCCCATCCTTGGTCTCGGGCTGTTTTGTATGTTCGATACAGTGCTGGAGATGGCCGGCATTGTAGTTTGTCTGGCATCAGTTGGCCATCTTGTTGATCAGCGTTGAGCGCTAAGTTTCATAAAGCTTCCCCTCAGATATGACGACATCGTAACAGAGGAGAGAGCTATCACTGGCGTACTAAGAGTTATCTACGGAATGTGTTCTTTGTGTTTACAGACCACTTAAACTATATCTCCTTAAGCTAACAAGTCTGTCTATGGATCTTCAAAAACAAATTCTCACACTTGATTGGTTCAATGATGACGAGGGACTATTCTGGGTCGCCATGGGGATAGATGGAACACCATTTGGTAAAGATGATAGTGCTACTAGTAGGCTAGTGTAGTGAACTAGTGTAGTGCAGCGTACAAGATACAAATCTAAATGCTCCCTGTAAATTAAATATTCTAAAAAAATGTCTACCTATATGTGGAGAAAAGGAAGAATAAAAATTGAATGGAATTCACTGTGTAAGTAAGGGCTCGTATAAACAATATTATTTATTATTAATAGTTACATATACTTGACTGTTGTTTAATCAGGTTGGGAAAGTGTAGTTTAGTATTATGATAAAAATAAATTCATTGTCCAATTTACTCTCCTTTGAAGTTACAAGTGTTATTCTCAAGCGCGCATAACCCGTAATTAAGAACTCATTTTACCTTTCCATCAACATGCAATTCAGTCTGTAACCACACATATTACTTTGGTAGTAATGTGGGCTAATTTCTTGACTAAAACCGCTCTCTGGTATTTTGTACCATAATAAGTGTTTTGCAATATTGTTATCTTAGTGAATCTGCCGAAACGTCCGCTACTGATATCATTAGATTACTTATCTTAATCTCGTTTGTCAGAGTTTGTGCGTATGAAGTTTGCCATGTTAATTGAAGTTCGATGCTACCCTCCTCTAATTAAAGGGTATTTGATGCTCATTTTCCGGTCTGGAAAATTACCCTATCTCCTCGTACCTTCTAACCACTAATTTGAATATCAAAACAAAGTAAGAACCAAAGTAATCCTAATTACTTTCGACACTTCATTGGAAATCGCTCTATCAGGCCCCACATAAACAATGTTACAGTATAACAACTACTGCAGCTGCAGATCGCTATGTAAGGGTAGTTGAAAAAATAAAGTTGTGGAAGACAACGAATGAAAAGACATATACAGAGGTGGTTTGATGCAAAGATTTTTTAGATGAAATATTGTTTTTACAGCATACGTGTGCAAGAAAAACATGCTTGTGACTTCAAAAAGGGGGTAAATTGCCGGACATTGAATTTATATTTATCTCAAAAGTAATCTATATTTTCCCAAACTGATTCAACAACAATTAACAACAGACACCTCGAAAATGAGAAAAATATACAGGTGGTCTGAGCCATTTGGGTCGACTCATTAGATAAAGATAGAAATATTGTTAAAAAGAAAGTTTGTCAAATTGAAGGCGACAATAAAAGGGTCTTGATCGGTGCCTTGCCTCGCCTTAAATGTAATAACTTGCTCGTGTATCAAGCTTATTACAATTTCATTACAAAAAAGTATGAGGTAGAATTAGGTGCTCTTGTTTAAAGGAATAGGCCGGCGGGTTTTACTCTGTGCGCGTGCAAAAGTGAAAAGAGTGCAATAGCACCTGTCAGGTGCTTACAAAAGAAGAATCGATTTTGAATTCATCTTTAGTTTTACAAATGTTTCCCAAAAACGGTTAACAGCAAACAAAAGGAAAATAAGAGAGTCTGAGTTTTTAAATTCATCTCTAAATTCAGTCTCAAGAAGTGACATAAAATGTACCAGTAAGCGACTATGTACTCAACGTCAGGTACGTTGTACTTCCTGGAGAAAAACAAAAGTGAACTGGCCTTCATTAAATGAAAGGGACTCCCAAAACCTCGCTGTGACCAGTCACTTCATAAATAACCCTGAAGAACACGACTAGCAAAGCTTCTCTTATGGCCAACAAGTCATCAGACGTTTGCCCACATCTTGCTTTCTCAGCTTGGCAGCCAAGATACTTACAAGAAACTGCTTATAATAATCTTGTTGCTGTTATCTGCGTCAACATTACCTCAGCCGTCATATGCATGGTGTTAAATGCGCTGGTTGTTATAGTGGTGGTGACCAAACAACAATTGAGAACTGTGTACAACATCCTCCTGGCGTGTTTGGCCGTGACAGACTTTCTGGTTGGCTTGCTCGTGCAGCCCTTGTCCGTGGCGGCAGATTTTAAGCGTATCTTTGGTCTTGGGCCGTTTTGTATGTTCGATACAGTACTGGGGATGGTCGGCATTGGAGTATGCCTGGCGTCAGTTGGCCATCTTATGTTGATCAGTGTTGAACGCTACATTTCCATAAAGTTCCCCCTCAGATATGACGACATCGTAACAGAGAAGAGAGTTATTGCTTGCATGGTGACGGTCTGGTTAGTTTCAGCAGTTGGCATAATTGCAATGATCTTTCTTGCGTCCATAAACACTGAATCAGATTTATATTCAATACTGCTGATCGCATACGCTTTAATGTTCCTAGTCGTTATTGTTGTTTACATTGTTACCATTGCCTTCAGCCATACAGCAGTCTTTTTGGAAGCCAAAAAGCACAAACGCCGTCTACAAACTGAGCAGTTACCTGACGAAGAGGCCAAGCGCCTTAAAAAGAACCACAAGGCAGCTAAAACCCTGACAATCATCTTGACGGCGCTGTTCTTCTCCTACCTGCCCGTAACCGTACTTTTTGGAAGCGCAACTTTCTCAGATGATTTGGTGGAGCCGCATGTGTTGTACATATTGTTCGCATGGTGTTATACGTCTGTTTACGTCTGCTCAATCTTTAATCCACTGATTTACTGCTGGCGAATGAAAAAGCTTCGTGGAGCGCTGTTCGATATATTACATTTAAGGCGGGCACAAATCAGCACGGGCATGGAATGATAATTAACTCCAGCAGAATATCCAACCAGTTCCTTGTAATGAGGCATGCGTTACAACCACTAATGGCTTAGAACTGAGTGTCGAATGAGCATAGCTATACAGAGAACTGTGTGTGTTTATCTTTTCGTAAATTCTGCAAGTTTTAATGGTAATTTGGGTAACGTAGACATAAGAATACTCTCCATATTTTCTTTAACAAAGCAATGGTAAAAACATGGTTCATGCGTATCCCTAGAGAAAGTTACAAACGGGTCAACTAGAAGCTATTTCACACATTCCCTTACATGAGTTCATTTCTATTATATAGATATTAGGTTTTCAAACGATTTTTTTTGGTAATGGAGGTAGTGTCTCTGCCGTTTTATTTTGGGACTTCCTAAGTTCTAATGATAAATAATTAGCATGCAGTTATTTAATTTTTATTGTATTTCTAGTTTTCGTTTGGGAATGATTCATGTAGACTAATGTATTTGTCCAAATTAAACAAACTCAAATTTTCGTCTAACTTGCGTTAATTTGTTTTCCTGTATAAAGAAAGGTCGGCAGATGTAACCAGCAGCTGTTCAGCTCGTGCTGCCGGCTGACCGCTGTGCTACGATAATCCTCTAAAAGTGTGAGAAAAAAAGGTGTGAAGTGCCGGGGTAAAATTGGTGCGATTGGGTTTCGGGGTTTTGATGTGGTAGAGAGTGTTGAAAATTTCTCAAGTCTCGTGAATGTCTATTGAACTACAAGGTTTTTCCTTCCCTCTTTGATATCTTTTTTGTACTTACACGCGACGCGTGGGATCTGATCATTGAGACAGTCACTTCCTCAGAACTTATCATAGAGTTTCTAAATGTTCAGTGTTGGAAACTATCTATTCCGCATCCATTGTTTACGAAGTCAAGAGAGCAGGGCTGAGGGTAGGGAGGGTTGTAGCTGAGGAAAGGGGAGAATATCTCCCTGTATCACAAATAGAGTTTGACGTAGTAAACCACTGACAAAGCTACTGACTCGGTTGATGTTGTGTGCTCGCCGAGACGCCTGGTCACTACGCGATCGGAACTAAATGGGTGATTCTCCGTCTGCAGTCTATGAACTATCGGTTTTCTTAGGGAATGGACTGACTGACAACCGATTTACAGTGTCTTAGTATGCCCCGAGTGTGGTGTTGATTGGAAATAGGACCCGAACTAAGTGTAATGCATTGTTAACTTGCGAAGAATTTGGGGTGATCACCTTTCATTACGTAATTTATGTAATTAGCAGTATAGATATCTTCAGTTGTCCATGTTATTTAGGTTAGGTTAAGCAGCGATTTAAGTCTTTTCATGTTCTTTTTAAGCCTTGTTCGTTGCTTTATGCTTAGATCAAAGCGAACTTGACTATTGCAATTCACCGCTGAGTAAAAATTCCGCCATGTCACGCCTGCAGGTTTTGTTGTACAGCAGTCATCTTCATAAATACCTCACAACGAGGCTATAACATGGCGGATGATCACGATTATTTTATTTTAGTTATTTATTTGTTGAGAAAGTCGATATGAGCGACAGAAACAGAAACAAGTTACCAAATAACTTACCTCAGTTGCAGAATTTGGTGAAGAGGGATCCTGACTCGTATAAGGAAGAGGTAAGTGTGTGATCGGGCGCGTGTATATG